AATTGTATTAAAAATTATTTTTCCAAAAATTTAATACCGATTCTCTAAAGTAAGATTGATTCCCTCTAATATCCCAGAGTTTCGTTAAAATCGGTTCATCGCTTAAAGAATTACAGGTTTTTGTTTAAAAAGTTATCGAATTTTTCACTTGACAATAACTTCGGTAAAATAACAGAAAAAAAATCTAAGTTTGGTGAATAATTGTTAATTTCAACCTGACTCGTTTTTTCTACATTGCGTCAATTAATTGTCCATTGTGATACCACATTTCACAAATTCATTTGAACGGTAACTGTGTAAAAATTTCGAGAGGCCCTGGGGGCTCACAACATAGTTCCGTAAACAGCTGATGTCCACCCCGGAGAGAGCCCCTCGGGAGTGTTGATGAGATGCGCACCGAAGTGCTTATACCTTAAACTAGCGAATGCCGGACAGTTGAGTAGGAAGTGCTGAGATGATTCCACCTCGTCTGCCAGATATTGCGGCGGTAGGGATCCATGACGATCTTGAGTCGCACCGCGTGTGTTCCCATAGGACAATGTCCGGTCAGTACACCTGCAAGAATCGAGAGCTGGCGCTTCGCCAGCTGCTGTAGCTCCCTTGACCGCCCGCGGTTCATCACTGGCCAGAAGGACCCTGCAACTTTGCAAGTCCGGGTTTTTTCCCAGCGGTCGCTGAGCCGACTGTAAGCCCATCTGTCCAGGAGCAGACCGCAGGTTGCCAACGGAACTCTCATGCCCTCCCTGTCCGAGGTGATGGCTTCGAGGGTTCCCTGCCAAGCCAGTTCATCAGCCCTGCATTTTCGAGTGATATCACGTCAGTAATCCAAAAATGATTTTAAAAAATCGGAGAAATGTGCAGAAGATTCAGGTTTCTAGTGCAGAAGGGCTCGTAAATATTTAAAATGTCATTTTAAAATTTTATCCTTGAAGTTTCACAAAATTTGTTTTTGTTTTTGTTTACTCGATAACATCCTCGATTCGTTGTTTTAACTTTGTTAGCTTAAAAATTACCTATTCGTCCTTTTGAATTCAAGAAATTTTAATTCTTTAAATTCTAAAGAAATTTCCTATTGCATTTGTTACCCATATTTTGATTGTACATTGCATTGAGTTTTAATAATTTTTGGAATTAATCATATCTTTGAAATTACAAAGTCCTTNCCAAGAAATTTTAATTCTTTAAATTCCAAAGAAATTTCCTATTGCATTTGTTACCCATATTTTGATTGTACATTGCATTGAATTTTAATAATTTTTGGAATTAATCATATCTTTGAAATTACAAAGTCCTTCAAAATAAATTCTGCGGTCAGAGATAAAAAATAAAAACGCAACTTTAAATAAAAAAGTAGGTTTCAAACCCATTTATTTATTATTTATTTCATGGTAGAAGAGCTTCTCAAACAATATAGAAGCAATTTTTTCGATTCAAGTTGTTGAAAATAATGAATATCTAAATCCCGGGATCCCGGGATTGTGACAATGGCATCCCGAAAATCCCGGGATCGGAAAAAGCCGAAAAATTAACATCCCTAGTAGACACCTCCTCCAACTCTCCCTTCCAGCTTCGATCCGTCCGTGAAGACGTTTATTGGACCTCTTCTTCAGAGACTACCCTTCTCCCATTCGTCCCTTGGAGGGATGTGCGTGGAGAAGGATCCTTTTGGGGCCAGCCTCGGGTGACTCCGGTCAATTTCTTCCGGCATGAAGTTGAAACTTTCGAGAATCGTCGAGTTCCCATGCGCTGGGTTGAAAGAGAACCCAGAGCTTTTGAGCCTAATCGCTCAGCGAATCGCCGCTACTTTGCCCGCAATGTCGACAGGTGCGACATTGAGCATAGCGTTTAGCGCTAGAGTAGAAGTGTTCCGGATTGCCCCGCTGATTCCAACGAGCTTCCTAACAAGGGTGGTTTTTTCCAGTGAACTCCACCAGACAATGACCCCATATAACATTATTGGCTTAATAATGGTTTCACATAGCCAGTGCATAACTTTTGGAGAGAGGCCCCATCTCTTCCGCATGACGTTATTGCAGCAGTAGAGAGCCACCGATGCTTTCTTTACTCGTTCCTCAATATTTGGTTCCCATGACAACTTCCCGTCCAGGATCACGCGCAAGAACTTGACCCTGTCAGAGAAAACAAGTGAAACACCCCCTATTGAGGGGAGCTGGGCATGAGGCATTTTCTACCTCCTGCCAAAAAAACCAGCTCCGTCTTTCCAGGATTGACACCAAGTCCGCAGCTAGCGGACCAATTTGAGACCACGTTTAGGTAGCCTTGCATAAGTTCGTACAGAGTGTCACGTCATCCGCGTAGTCAATATCCCAGCATCCTCTCCTTTCCAACTCCTCCAGAACATCGTTTATCACGACTATCCAGAGAAAGGGTGAAAAAACGCCTCCCTGCGGTGTCCCTCTGCTCACTTTACGCTCCCCAGAGGCGTTGCCCCATTCCGCTGTGACGGTTCTGTCGTACAGCATACGTGAGATGAGCCTTACTAAGTAGCTTTCGACTCCGAGCTTAGTAAAGGATCTTATTATTGCCCCAGGTAAGAAAGCGCCCTCGATATCAAGGAAGACACATACTCAGCGTTTCCGCGTTGGTAATTTTTAACCAAAATTGGTATTTTTTTCTTTATTTATCAAGTTTGGTAATTTAGTAATTTATTTCTCAATGTGGTAACTTTTTCATTTCGGTCTTACATGTCAAATACGTCAATATTGGTTCTGATTCCACATTAGTAAGTGAACCGTAAGCGTTTCCTTTTATAGAAATACCAGGTGATCCTGAAAGTTTCGCAAGGCGAAAGTTGTTCCTGGAATGATGAGCTCTTTAACAAACTGCTTAAAAGTGGCTATTGCTAAGTATATCCACCGTGTCCTTTCCTGGAAGGTTTTGGAAGGTCCCTGCCAGTTCGTCAGTTTTTCAATTACCATAAATTTTCCGGTGTACCCGACATGAATAGAATTCTACGTAAATACGTATGTTCTCGTTCAAAAAGCTGCGGCATTCAGCGGGGGACTTCACTCTATGTGTGAGTCGAAAGATTTCCCTCAAGCGTTGAGTTTTTGATATATTTTCTGTCACTTGTTTGCATACAGTGGTCCAAAATAATTATAGCAAAACCATATTTTGACAAGTTTTAACATATTATTTTTTTTTTGTAATTTAATTTTGGTTATTTTTTATAAAAATATTGGGCGCGTTTATAAGACGTAGCTGTTGCCCAAGCTATTTGTCTTAGAAACGCACAGTTGAGTAGTTCCGCTCAGCTCAACAGTCGGCAACTTTCCGTCATTTTTTCCAGCGGAAAATGTTTACGCTACCTGAACTCAACGTGTTGGGCTTAGCCTAAACAGCTGATCGAAAAGACTTACGCTGCTTATATTAAATTTAACGCCGCTTCGTAAGGTGGCAGCTGCAAACAAATTTATTATATGTTATATTACTGATGTGATGAAATAACTAGAATATTTTATAATAATACTACTTTGCTAAATATATATTTTTAAGATGTTTGCTATATAATTTCACACTGTTTTATTCATTGTAACATTGAACGATTTTTTCAACACGGCGGCAGCTCAGCGTTGAATTTTATTTCTATTTTATTCTATGGCTCTTGCCGTTCCTTTCAGCCCACAGCCATAAACAAAAAAAAAGATTCATGCCGGATAGAGGAAATGAAAACGAGAGACAACACTGCGGCAAAAAGGAAAGTGGTAGAAAACCAGTCCTGTCAGGAGGGAGCCGTCCCACCCCATCTGTCT